ACACGACGCGACACGCCGGGGGGGACGAAAACGAACGACGCGACACGAACGACACGACACGGACGAGCGACACGACAGAGACGAGCCGCCGGCCCCGCCCCATGGCGGCGAGCGCTGGGGGGGACCCAGCACCGCCCTGGGGGAGGACACGGGGCCTGGCGACCCCCCCGGGGGAAGGAAACCGCGCTTTGGCGGCGTCCCCCGGGGTGCGGGGGATTTTCGCCCCTCGGGCCCGGCGCTCCCCGCCTGCGCCAGGAGGACCCTGAGAGCCCGACCCCTCCCCTACGGGAGGGGCCCCCTCGGGGCGCCTACAGCAGGAGGAGGAGGAGGAGGAGGAGGAGAACGAACAAAAGACCGTCTGGACTGTTCCAGGAGGTTTTTAAACCTCGGGGTTTTGACGTTTTCGGGGTCGTATATCTCTGCTCCCAGGTAGGCGGTGCCCCAGTAATTACCCGATGTCGCCGCCCGGTAATCGCAAGGGACGGCTCTGCTTGTTCTCGGGCTCAGCGCATTTCCTCCCTGTGGTGCTGAATGGAAGGCGGGCCGCCACTCCCCGGCCGTGCACGCACCAGCCGCCCAAACGCGCCACCCTCCCTTAAGATTTGAGGTTGCGACAGACTTGCAACATCGCAACAAATCACGACCAGAACCCAGGATCCCATCTTCCTGCGCAAGTGTCCGAGCCGGGCCGATCCGGGAGGGCCGAGGCCAGGCGAAGCCTCCCTGCGCGAGAGCAGAAGGGCGGCTCCCGACAGTGGGCTGCCCAAGTTCCAGACCCCCGACGCCATGACTCGTTCATGGCGTGGAGACCCTGGATCGGGCGTTGGCAGAACTGGGTTTAGTGGAGCCTGGTTTAGTGAATTGTACCGGGGGCGCCCCCCCCGCCCCATTCCCACAAACCGGAACTGCCGACACCCGAAAAACACCAGTTACGGCAAACCTGGTTTAGTGAATCTGGCCAACTGAGAAGCCCCAGGGCCGTTCGGGAGCGGCCAAGAGGGGGGTGTCCAAGAGGGGGGGGTGCAAATCATGACCGGCGGCATGTGCGCGGCCCAAGGGGGGGGGCCAGAGACGTCATGAAACAAGAAGAGGCGCCATGAAATCTGGGGAAATATCATGGCCCCCGCCATGATATCCCCCCCCCCGTAGCCATCACCCCCCTCTTTTCCGCCCCCGAGCCCTGCCACTAACCGGGTCCCCTTACCCGGGGCCCTGGCCATACCCGACCGGAGGCCTCGGCCCACTTCCCGAGGCCCGCTCTCCGTCCCGAGTCGCGCTCTGGCGGTCCCGGGGGCCAGGAGCTGGGCCCCTATACCCTGACCTTCCAGAGAGCTATGTTTTAGCACTGGAGACCTAAAAACCTAAACAACTAAACGAAAAAACCTAAAACCAAGACGTAGAATAGCTCTGGGATAGGTTTTTTTAAGTCGCGTGCTATTTCCCAACCATCCTGTGGTGTTGGGTCCTCGTTTTGAAGAGACGGTGCCCCGCGTCTCCTTCCTCTCCTCCTCCGCCTCCTCTCCCCTCCTATCATCGTCATCATCATCATCATCATCATCATCATTATCATCATCATTATCATCATCATCGTCATCAGCATCAACATCATCATCATCATCATCCATCATAACCATCATCGTCATCATCATCATCATCATCATCATCATCATCATCATCATCATCCTCGTCGCCATCATCACACGTTTCGTGGCCCCATACGGAGCTCCACCGAAGGTCCAAGTGGCGCAGCTCGCATGGCGCCACCGCCCCATTTTGGCACACCCCTCACACGTTTCGTGGCCCCATAGGGAGCTCCATCTACGGTCCAAGTGGCGCAGCTCGCATGGCGCCACCGCCCCATTTTGGCACACCCCTCACAGATTTCGTGGCCCCATCAGGGAGCTCCTTTTGGCACACCCCTCACACGCTTCGTGGCCCCATAGGGAACTCCACTTAAGGTCCACGTGGCGCAGCTCGCATGGCGTCACCGCCCCTTTTTGGCACACCCCTCACACGTTTCGTGGCCCCATAGGGAGCTCCATTTACGGTCCAAGTGGCGCAGCTCGCATGGCGCGCGCCACCGCCCCATTTTGGCACACCCCTCACACGTTTCGTGGCCCCATAGGGAGCTCCACCTACGGTCCAAGTGGCGCAGCTCGCATGGCGCCACCGCCCCATTTTGGCACACCCCTCACACGTTTCGTGGCCCCATAGGGAGCTCCATCTACGGTCCAAGTGGCGCAGCTCGCATGGCGCCACCGCCGCATTTTGGCACTCCCCTCACACATTTCGTGGCCCCTCAGGGAGCTCCTTTTTGGCACACCCCTCACACGTTTCGTGGCCCCATAGGGAGCTCCACCTAAGGTCCACATGGCGCAGCTCGCATGGCGCCACCGCCCCTTTTTGGCACACCCCTCACACTTTTCGTGGCCCCATAGGGAGCTCAATTCACGGTCCAAGTGGCGCAGCTCGCATGGCGCCACCGCCCCATTTTGGCACACCCCTCACTCGTTTCGTGGCCCCATAAGGGGCTCCATCTACGGTCCAAGTGGCGCAGCTCGCATGGCGCCACCGCCCCATTTTGGCACAACCCTTACAGATTTCGTGGCCCCTCAGGGAGCTCCTGTTTGGCACACCCCTCACACGCTTCGTGGCCCCATAGGGAGCTCCACCTAAGGTCCACGTGGCGCAGCTCGCATGGCGCCACCGCCCCTTTTTGGCACACCCCTCACACGTTTCGTGGCCCCATAGGGAGCTCCAGTTACGGTCCAAGTGGCGCAGCTCGCATGGCGCCACCGCCCCATTTTGGCACACATTTCAAAGATTTCGTGGCCCCTCAGGAAGCTCCACCTGAGGTCCAAGTAGCGCAGCTCGCATGGCGCCACCGCCGCATGTTGGCACACCCCTCACACGTTTCGTGGCCCCTCAGGGAGCTGCACCTAAGGTCCCAGTGGCGCAGCTCGCATGGCACCCCTTCACACGTTTCGTGGCCCCACAGGGAGCTCCATCTCAGGTCCAAGTGGCGCACCCCACATGGCGCCGCAGACCCACTTTGGCACACCCCTCACACGTTTCGTGGTCCCATAGGGAGGGAGGAGGAGGAGGAGGAGGAGGAGGAGGAGGAGGAGGAGGAGGAGGAGGAGGAGGAGGAGGAGGAGGGCGAGGAGGAGGGCGAGGAGGAGGAGGAGGAGGAGGAGGAGGAGCAGGAGGAGGAGGAAGAAGGACCGCCCTGGCCGCTGTCGCCGCCGCCGATGCCGCCGTCGCCGCCGTCGGCGCCGCCGTCGGCGTCATGCTCGCGGCCCCACAGGCGAACGGGAGAGAGGGTCCCCTCCCCCTCCTCCTCCTTTCCCTCCTCCTCGCTTCCTTCTCTTTGTTGCCCGCGCGCAGCATCATTGTCCATGCTTGTTGAGTCGACTTAGCTGTGAAGCCATCCATTGCAAAGAATCCGAACCATCGCGGCGTGTGGCCCCCCCCGAGCCGCGCCTTTTCTCGACTGCCCGCATAATTGTTCGGCCTCGCGCCGCGGACGACCCGCGCGCGTCGCTGGGACCCTCTCGGGGCGACCAGCGCGCGTCGCGGGGATTCCGCGCGGCGCTCTGCTCAGCGCCTCGCTCGCCCGTCGTCGCTCTGCCCAGCGGCCGGAGCCTTGCCCGCAATCGGCCGGCCGGCTAGCTCTCTGTGCTCCGCGCAGCGGACGACTTGCGCGCGTCGCTGGGACCCCTCCGCGGCGACCTGTGCGCGTCGCGGGGACTCCGCGCTGCTCTGCGCCCGCAGCTTTTGATTTTTGGAGCGCGCAGGCAAAGAGGGGGGAAAAGAAGGGACGGGAGCGGGTGCGATCCCCGTGAGGGGCGTGCCGACATGGGCGTCGCGGCGCGCGGGCGCTGCCGTCGGGGTTCCCGCGGAAGCTGCCTGCGGCGGCCACGCCCAGTGTCACAAGTGTTCGGACAGGCATGCTCGAGCCATTCACATTCATATACATTTACACTAGGCGTAGCCAAGATCGCATTCATGCAAATATACACACTCCCACGCAGACCCATTCACACTCAGACTCTTTCGCGCTCTGGATCACCCGCGTTCATTCTTTCGTAATCTGACCTATCGTATTCCTTTGCGTTGTGTACCCCGCCATATTTCGGCATGCCCCTCATGCGGTTCGTGGCCCCATAGGGAGCGCCACCGAAGAAGGTATTCACAATTCCGGCATTCACAACTGCATATGGTTGGGTCTTTCGCCAGGATAATTTTTAGCCCTCCTGGAAGGTCAGGATAGAGCCTGCAGAAAGCGCGGGGGCCCTCTGGGGGGCACTGCGCCCCCAGGTCCCGCCGCCCCCTCCCGCCGCTTCGCGCGCCAAGGGGCGTCGCCGGAGGCGCTGCAAGGGGGCCCCAACGCCGATCCGAGGAATCCGCGTGGACCTGCGAGTTTTCAGGTCGATGTCATTGTTCGTTCCCCATAGTCAGCCTGGACAAGCGCGCTCCACTACTCGCATGGAGCACGAAACGGATCGCAGACGGCCTGGACCCGCCGCGTGGACCTAACGATGCACATGCGTAGGAGGTCCACATGCCTTTTGTCGGGCGCTTGCGGGTCTACGCTGTGTCGGGGATGGACAGACCTCCCTTTAGTAAAACGTGGTTTAGCGAAAACGACCTGAGGCCCAAACCTGGCGGGCACAGGCCTGGAAAAGAACGGCCCCGGCGCCCTCTCGAGAACCGAAAACGGACGATTCACGAATCGACGTGTCACTGTGGGGGGTTCTGTCCACCCCCGACTGTGTGTGAGCAGTGGGACGCGCTCGGTGATTAATGCCACCGCTCCAGCCTCGAGCCCCGAGCCTTCTGAGAAGGCCTCCTCCTCCTCCTCCTCCTCCTCCTCCCGTCCCCCCCAGGAGGAGGAGGAGGAGGAGGAGGAAGAGGAGGAGGAGGAGGATGAGGAGGAGGGGGAGGAGGTGGAGGAGGAAGAGGTGGAGGAGGTGGCTCTTTCCCCCAGCCCCGAGCTCCTGGGCGACTCATGCCGCGTGGGCCCTCACCGCTGCCGCGCGCGGCCGCCGCTGCGCGGGGCCATGCGGCGGCGATCCGCGCGCCGGCGCCCGCCCCGACGAGGCGAGCGGGCGGCGGCCGGGGGGCGCGCGGCCGCGCGGGCCCCGCGGGCTCCGGCCGAGGGGCGCCGAGGGGGGCGCGTGTAGGAAGGGCGCGACGGGGGTTCCTCCTCCTCCTCCTGATCCTCCTCCTCCTCCTGCTTCTCCTCCTCTTGCTCCTGCTCCTCCTGCCCCTCCTCCTCCTCCTCCTCCTCCTCCTCCTCCTCCTCCTCCTCCTCCTCCTCCTGCAGGGAGGGCGCGACGGGGGGAGGGGCGGGGGGGTCGAGGACGGGGGGGTCGGAGACAACCAGTGGGGGTCTGAGTCGGAGGAATGAAAGAAGGTGAAGCCCCACGGGGGAGGGGCTGTTGCGCCAGATAAGACCGCCAGAGTAATTAAGCGGTAGCACAAGCGGGAGTCAACGGGATAAAACAAAACCCCACCAGCCCTTTAGGGCGTAGGTGGTTTAGGGTGTTCCCTGTTCCACCCCCTTCTTCGTGTTGGGGAGGGGTTTACCCCTCCCCCTGACCCCTCAACTGGACCTGGAGGGGGCGTTCCGCGGGTCGCCAGAGCGTCCAAAACGGCCTCGGCGAGGAAACCAAAATCATAATTACGATGGTTGTGGCTCCATTTTGGCCTCTTGGGGTGGCGGCGCTAATTGAGACCCCCCCCTTGTTTGATCGATCTCCTCCGAGATGGCCCCTATGAGCGCTCCCAGGGCTCCTAAGGGTGCCCCAAGAGGGCCCCAACAGGTGGCCAGGAGGCCCCCAAGAGGCTCTCAAAAGGCCCCCAGGATGCACCCAAGAGGCCCCCAAGAGACCCCCAAGAGGCCCCAAGAGGCCCCCCAGAAGCACCCAAGACGTTCCAAGAGGTCCCGGCGAGAATGCACAAATCATTGGTTTTACGAAGGTGTTGGCCACATGTTGGCCTCGTGGGGGGGCACTGCTTAAGATGACTCCAAGAGCGCCTGCAAGAGCCCAAGATGACCTCCAAGATGGCTCAAGACATCCCACGATGCCTCAAGATGGCTCCCACGATGCTCCAAGAGGCCCCGAGACCGCTCCAAGACGGCCCCGAGTGGCCAAAAAGCTCCCCCAGGAAACCCCGAAGAGGCCCATATCCTTCCAAACCGCATGAAATCTATGTGTTTGGCTTTCTCGCCTTTTCGCTTCCGATGGCCATCCGAGGCTTCAAGCTGGCTCCAAGATGGCGGAAGTGGGCTCCAACAGCGCTCCTAAGGCTCCAAGGAGCGCTTCAAGACGGCTCCAAGAGGCGCCCAGGAGGCCCTAACAGGCGCCCAAGAGGCCTCCAATAGGCACCCAAGAGATTCCCAAGAGGCCCCAAGAAGCTCTCCGATGCACCCAAGACGCTTTAAGAGGCGTGACCGCCAAGAGGCCCCCAAGACGCTCCAAGAGGCCTCCACTAGGTGACCCTTCCTCTGTGTGCTGCCCACTTCACTGATCGAAGCAATTCCTCTTGGCATCGTTTCTGGATGGGCTGGTGTGGTTACTTTTTGGTCAACAGGCTCGCGAGGCGGGTCGAAAGCCGTCCGAACACTAGTCGGGCCGCGACTAGGCAGCAGGAAAACAAAGGCAAGCGAAGCGAGCGAGCGGGCAGCCACTCAGGAGGAGAGCCAGGCTGGTGTGGTTACGCGAAGCGTCTAGAACTTAGCCCGATTTCGGACCAGGGCAAAATCGTAATGTGACCTCCCTGGAGTTGCATCGAAGGGGAGGGTGGAAGGAGGTGGCAGGGAAGGGCTTGCCGGGAGGGCGCGGGGGGAGGGAGGGGGTTGCGCAGGGAGGGCGCCAGCGGGGTGGGGAGGGGCGGCGGCGAGGCGGGGGGGAGGAGACGCCGAAGCAGAACGTGGCTGGTGGAGGTCAGATCATGCGAGCCGCCCATCTTGGACAGCGGCTGACGATCTCGCGCGAACTCTGAGGGGTCCTGCGTCGACAGGTTACCAGCCTCGGACGTATCCCTATCCCTAAGAGTGACACGCCGAAAGGCGATGACAATCTTAGGGATTCGCCCTCAAAAAACAAGGGAATCCCTAAGATGGGCATCGTAATGGGAAGGTGCCCAGCATAGGGACAGGGATATGTTCCAGGCTGGTAGACACGGGGGGGTGGGGGGCGAGCAAGGAGGGACCGCGTGTGAAAGAGGGGGGGCTCCCTGGGCAAGTCGACGCCGTTGCGAGAGCGCCAGCCGCCCAAGCAACTCTCCACGGGCCACCGCAGAGGGGTGCCCGGCAATGCCTCGGAGAGGCGCACGAGCCTCCTCCTCCCTGCCTGTCCCCTCCTCCACTTCCCCACCCCGCAATACCACGTCCTCCCAACCCCGAGGGCGGGGACAGGAGGAAGACAGGGATGGCGCGATGGGCCGAGGTGGGGAGAATGAAGGAATCGGAGGCCTCCTCCTGCTGCTCCCCCCCTCCTCTTCCTCCTCCTCCGCCTCCTCCTCCTCCTCCTCCTGCTCCTGCTCCTCCTCCTCCTGATGCTCCTCCTCCTCCTCCTCTTCTTCTTCCTCCTCCTCCTCCTCCTCCTCCTGCTCCTCCTCCTCCTCCTCTTCCTGATCCTCCTCCTCCTCGGCAGTCCCAGGGAGGAGGAAGTGACGGCACGAGGGATCCAGGAGAACGAAGGGAGAGTGGGGGAGGAGGAAGCATGAGAACGGGGGGATGGGAAAACGTCGATGGTGAGATGGAGAAAGAGTGCACAACATCCGACGTCGTGACAATTTGGATGCGTGGCCCGCGGAGTTTCCGCGACGTCCTTCCCTGCGCGGCTAGATTCTCGTCCTGCATGGTGTTGTGATGCCTCTGCGCCCACGTCCGCAACGGTCCCCAGGAGGCCTCTGGAGGTCCAAGGCGGAAGGCTCAGGAGGCTTCTGGAGGCTTCCAGAGCCCCGCCAGCGATAGCCGAGACCATCCCCGTTCTCTCCCCGCTTACAGCGGAGAGAATTTGAGAGAGAGGGAGAGACAAGGAGAGAGACAGAGACAGCAGACAGAGGCAGTGACAGAGGCAGATACCAAGACACGTATACAGACACAGACAAAGACTCAGACACCCGAATCAATACACACGCACACACACACACACACACACACTTTTGCGTGGCGGCCACGCGCGGCGATGAATGGCAAAGGCCGAGCAGAGAGCGGCGCGCGCGCTGTCCAACTCAAGCATGAGAAGCCGGATCAACCCACAGGGGATCGGACGGCAACGCCGGCGGGGAAAACCGACGAGGGGAGAAGGCGTGCTGAGGACGATGAGCAGCGAAGACAGGGACAGGCCCAGGCCGAACGCGTACGTAGCTCGGGCGTTGGCAGAACTGGGCTCGGTGGGGCCTGGTTTAGCGATGTGTGCTGGGGGGCGCCACCCGGCAGGCCACCGTTCCACTACCCGGAGCTGCCGTCACCCGAACAAAAACACCACCTATACGGCAGACCTGGTTTAGTGATTTCGGCGGTGGACAAACCTCCCTTTAGTAAACCTCCCCTTAAGGAAAACAGCCTGGGACCGAAACCGGCGAGCCTGGACCCGCAAAAATGTCGGCAGCGACGCCCTCTCGCGAACCGAAAACGGCCGATTCGCTAATCGACGCGTCAGGGTAGGAGGTCTGTCCACCCCCGAGCCAATTGAGGGGCTCCGGGGCCCCACTGCTAATCGGGTCCCCTCACCTAGGGTCCTGGCTGTACCCGAGTGGCGGAGGGGACACAGCCACGACGGGCAAGAGGGGAGCAAGGCAGCTCGTGGGTCAGGCGAGGCAGTGAGGCCGTGGAGCCAGTAGGCCGGAGAGGGAATGGCAGGCGACCGCAGTAGGCCTGGCAGGGAAAGCACGCAAACGAAAAGAGCGGCGGAGCGGATATGTGAGGGGCTTAAGTTCTGGCACGGTGAAGTGCACCCTCCAATAACGATGTCTCAAGGATGAGGAGGAGGAGGAGGAGGGGGAGCAAGACGAGGAGGGGCGGTCGCTTCCAGGAAGCTGGTCAGGCACATGCAGCAAGTGAGGAGGGGAAAGGGAATGAGGAGGCTCTGGAAGGGGCGCCTCGGCGCGTGAGCGGCGCGACACGGCACCATGAGAAGTGATGTTTCTGCCATTACGTCGGCTGCGTGCGGGCGGCGCGGGCAAAGAATGCGGGCGCCCTGGCGGGCCTGAAGCGGCACCCCTGTATTGTCTGGCGACCTCGCACGGCTTCTCAGGAGGCTGCTTCTTAGAAGGCGTCCGCCCTACCTCTAGAGACGGGGCCCGCGCCTTTGCCAGAAGCAGGGGTGTGTTGTTTGACCGGTCGTCCCCCCCCCCCCTGCCGTCTTTGTGCGCGCCACCAAACTCTGGCGGTGGTCCTGCTGTGGCAGGTTCTGCCGTCTCAGGTCCGTCGGGGACCTCGTCCCTGGGTCTTGGATTAGGTCGGGCCTGTCCCCCTACAGGGGGATTTGCGACGAAAAATCAAAAATACCACAAAAATGATCCAAAAATAATCAAAAAAAAAGTCTGGGGACTATATTTTGAGTTTTTGTTTACCTTTTTGGTGTATGTTTTGCGTACTTTCTATTTTCCGTCGGAATCCCCTGTAGGGGGACACGCCCGACATAAGTCTTGGATCGGCTCTCTGGCCTGCGGCGGTCTGCACGGCGATTGCCTGTGCGGGGGCAGGCTCCGGCCACTGCTTACAGGCCCTCCCAGCAATCCTGTGGGGCAGGGGTGCGGTCGGGGGAGTCGGCCCGCTGGTGCAGGCACGGTTCAGAAGCGTGCATCGCCTGGCCCCCCTGGGGCACGAGCATGTGACGGCGGGACGGGTTATCCGTGCGCGGCGACACGCGCTGCGTGCCCCGAACGGCGGCGTGGGGTAACCAGCGAATCCTGGCACAGGCGAGCCAAGGCAGCACAAGAGCCACCCGCGTTCGGTGGGCTGGTGCTGTTCGCTGTGCAGCACCGCACCTGAGGATTTTCTCTGC